TCTCTCTCTCTCTCTCTCTCTCTCTCTCTCTCTCTCTCTCTCTCTCTCTCTCTCTCTCTCTCTCTCTCTCTCTCTCTCTCTCTCTCTCTCTCTCTCTCTCTCTCTCTTATATATGATTATTCAATAGTACCAATCAAATTCATTAATAAGTAAGTTGGAGAGACATTAGATGATGATAACCATGTTACCACTTCCATAGAACTTACACTTTACGGGACACGATTCAATGTTTTTTGTACTTGTTGAAGTTCAATGTACTTAAGATGTCATTTAAACCATATATAATAGTCGTATTACTTCTTATTTTTATAAAGCTAACAAAATTATTATTTTGGTGAAAAAATATTAGTAATAAAAGTATGTGTGGTGTATGTTAACGGTTTTATTTTATGGAGTAATATGGTTTGGTTTTATTAGATAGAATTATATGGAATAATAGTTTAAATTTTTTATGATTTTTATAATGGAAAAATTTTTGTGATATTTTTTTCTTTCTCTAATATGTCGTATATTGTTTTAAAACATTATGGAAAAATAAGTATCAACCGCCAAATAAATTTTTAGTTTTAACAAAAGATATTAGAGAGAGAACAAAGCTGATCTTAATTACATTTGCTTAGCTGATCGATTTATGTGTGTTACATTTGTTTAACAACTAAAGATTTTGTATTTTTAATTTTGTTTCTATCCAAAACAGTGATATACTGGAAAATTAGAGTAATAATAATGCTTGAAAGAAAAAAAATCCCGGTTTAGAAGTTTTGACTAAGGCAGAAAAAGTTAAGTAAAGTTTATTGTTTACGAAGCTGCATGTTCTAGACAAACGACTGCTCAATATGGAACATCAAAGTACAAATTTAAATGCTAAAATATTTCTACTGTAAAAGATTAAATAAGATAAAGATGCATCTTAGCACAAGTTGGTCATTACATAATGATACTTTATGTCATCGATATTCTCTCTTTACATAAGTATATTAGTCATATTATATGCATTAGAAGATATATATATATATATTTTTGTACACATACATGAGCCTAATAATGTAGGAAAGGCTATGAAAGAAAGGCTATGTGTGACCAAGATTTTGTAGGTGCTTATCTTGAATCTTTGAACTTCATAAGAAGCTATACAAGTACAATTTTAAATATTTTATAAGGTTTAAAGTTATAAACAATTACTTACTATGTATGGATATTTCTTTACTTCTAATTATGTTTACTATTCAATATGATTAATAATTCAGATATATATATATATATATATATAATCATTAATCATTTTGACCGGGAACACACAAAAAAAACTCTCTACTCCTGTGCAGTAAATTATAAATTACTTGTATTAGCTATTTGATAAATGTTAAAAATGTATACATTAAGAAGAATTTGTCCTTACAAATGTATAATTTTTGTTTGTCTTTTCAACCGTAGAAGCAACAGACAGAATATCCACGTGTACTAATAGGTTCTTTGTACACGAAATTAAATTTATTTTTTTACTTTTTTTGGTATAATTTTTAAAACAAATTAAACAATATTCGTATGTACTTTTAAAAAAATACTATATAGATGAAAAAGCAAGTTTCCCGGGAACAAGGTCCGGCCGCTCGAGTGTAAAGCAGACAATTATTATGAAACATAAAGCAATTTTCTCGATTTTAATTGATTACGTAAAAGGATGTAAAATAAAAAATAAAATAAAAAATGATTACATTAAAGAATAAGAAAATATTATTTTCAAATTCAGCATATTGAAGAAGTAGTCATGTTTGGTTAATTCAAGTTTTGATTTACACCAAGACTTGCCTCAATTTTTGGAACCTAATATAATGCAAAAAAAAAAAGTCTAGACGTTTAATATATATTTATAACGATAAAAGAGGTAAATGAAAAGTTTTTTTTTTTTTAGGTAAATGAAAGTTAAGTACTGGTTTGTTAAATATTAAAGATGATTTACACTTTTCCCTTACTTAACAAATTTTAGTATGTTCTACCAAAAAAAAAACAAATTTTAGTATGAGAAAACAGTTATAAAGCACATATTTTGCCAATATAATAGCTGATTCTTAAAAAAAAATGGGGATCTTAAAATTAATAGAAAAATAATTTGACATGAGATTTTCTAATATGATCTAACTTGATCATCAAATTTGTGGGTTTTTGTTTCTTATTTCTTAGGCCCTAATATAATTATTCTTTAAAAAAAACTAAGCCCTTGAATGGTTACTAGATTTTAAATAGATTTTGGTTTTAGTTTTTCTAAAAGTTTGATTTACTTCCGTTCTAGATTTTGCAAAATTGGTTTTATTAAAAATAGGAAAATTTAGTTTTTGGAAGATTTTTCTATTGTCAAAGAAAAACCAAAAACCATTTTATAGTGGTTTTCCTCGTTAGTATTTATTCTATCATTTTTCAATTTTAATAGTTATTTTTTCATTTTTAAGAAAAAATTAGCAAAAAACCAAATATGTATAAAGTAAAAACCAAAAATCAAAAGCTAGAAACTAATTTAAAAACTCATTTCATTCATGTCCTAATAATAATTAAAAAACGTGGAGAAAATATTTAACCACCCACTTATCAGTAAATAAACATACTGTATATAGACATTGTTAATGCAACAAAACGTGGAGTATATTTTCCAATTGTTAGTGCAACAAAATAAAAACGCATATAGACATTGTGGGTTTTGCCGGTTTATGTTTTACCTTTGTTTTTGCTATAAAAAGCCATTACTCCTTCGATTTTTTTAGACATCTCTCTTCTCCCATCATCTCACTTCTCTTCCTTCTCTTCTCTCTTCTCACTTTTTCACATAATCTCTTTCTTATAGTAAATCTGTATGGTGCCTCATCAAAGCAAACTATGGTCATCTAGCTAGGGTTTTCTTGACGATTAGAGTTGATCATAGCACACACATAGAGGGACATCTTTGCATCAATATGAGTCACAAACATGGGCTATCTAACTAACTGTTTTGTGTTTTTTATGCTATATATAGTATAAATCAAATTCATTATGTGCTTGTATATATGCATATATAGTGATAGAGTTTTTCATTATCTCTATGGTTAGGGGATGCTGGGTTGGTGGAGGAAGAGAGCTTTCTTCGGTCCACTCATGGAGTAATATGTGAGATTTAATTGACTCTCGACTCATTCATCCAAATACCAAATGAAAGAATATGCTCGCATATGGTAAATGAGTGAATGATGCGAGAGACAAATTGAGTCTTCACTTCTCTATGCTTGGACTGAAGGGAGCTCCCTATTTTTATTTTTCTCTGTAATACCTACCACATTTTTTTCATCTATGTATTGATTACTTGAAGATTTTGTGTCTAAACTCATGATCAAGTTCAACTTTATATGATACGATATAAGTAAGTCTGACACTCTACTTATATGAGTGTTTTATGGCTCTTTTTGCAGGATTCAGCCGTGGACCTCCCAGAACATTTTCGAGTCCAATCTATATATGAAGATTTTATTACCTTTCTCTTTGTAATCAAGTTTCCCTTAAAAAAAGCAATAGCTATGTTTCTAGGATAAGGTTTCACTAGTTCATCACCAAATGTATATTTTTTTTCTTTTCTTTGTATTCATGTATAAGGTAATAAGGTATTATGTATCTAGCTTTCTCTCACAATGAATGGTGATTTACTTGCAAAAAATAGTTTAAGACTTTAAGCTATTACATTCTACTAAACGCAACTGTAAGTTTAGAAATGAATCTAGCTCCATAAAATCAGATTATAAGAAAAAAGTGATGATGTGTATATATGAAATAATATTCAAAAACAGTCTCTTTACATGTGTTTGGATATAATTAGGGTTTTGACAATAAAACCCTAAGATGGGCTGTAAAGTATCAAACTCATCAGACGAGAGAGAGAGAAAGAGATCTCTCAGTGTTCAACGACAACATCACCTCGGGTCTTGATCTCTTTTTCACTGCAACAAGTTCCTAGATATGTCGACTTCATCGTTGGAAATGAAATACACTTTAATGACTACACTACCCTCGACTAAGGGCATCCTCTAGAGGGCAAAATCGTATTAAGCTCGACATTTGACGAGTGTCAACATCATCATCATGCATTGATCTACAATTTTGTTCACATACTTTTTTTTCTTCTCCCTATTGTACTAATTTACAACTTGAGATTTGAATTGAAAAAGAATCATTCTTTTAAATCGGGGTTGCTGAGCGTAATCTATACATAATCAAAAACTATCATTTTATCTAAGTTATAATAATAGTCCATGGACTCATGGAGCATGACTAATATATGTTTAGATTCTTGTAATAATGCTACATCTCCACCGAATACAAGTTAAAAAAAATATTTGTTTATATGTTTGTGTAGACTTAGTTAAGAATAAGATACCATTTTTAAAAATATTAATTAACAAGTATCAAAATTATGCTATTTTAAAGCATACAATTGTATGCCAAATATAGGTGACAATCTTTTCCCAATCCACTTTATATTATTGTGCCTTGTGTTCAGTTGTTGTGTGTGTGTATATGTTTTTACTTTTATTGTTCTTTCTAATTGACATGTGTGGATTTATGGGTTTTTGACATGTGGCATAGTCCTATGAGAACTGAGGTTGACACACATGTCTTCTGGTTTGGTACTTTGGTTTGATTAAAAGAAACGCATGTGTTACATTAACGTATGCTTAGATCGTGTGAACTTCTAACTAGCTAGAAAGGTAAGGAGGCTTTGCCACTCCTCTCTATCTCCACCTAGTTAACCGATCAGATCGATCAACGTCTTACCCGGTTAGCTACGAGATTGAGTTTAATTTCCACGACTCAACAAAAAATCTATCTTTATAATAGAGTATATCTTTAGATCCAAACACACCCTTAAATTGTTTAATAAGTATGCTTTGTATATAATTTTATACTTAAAACGAATTTAAGGATTAGAATACACTATTTCACAAACATGATGAGACAACAAAGAATAATTTTGGTGGATTATGGCATTTGACTTTAATCCCATTGGCACACTAAAAAGAGACAATGGTGATGAAGAGAAGAACGAATGATCTCATTATATTATAAAGAGTTTATATTATATGCAATACACATTTTACATTTACATATGTGTATGTGAGAGTTGGTGTGACATCACACGATCTCTCTTATAAACGACAATACTGATAAAGTGTGATGAAAAAGCAACACCTGAGAATGTGCAATTATTATAACTTGCTTAGTTGGGTACAGTTAACAGATCTATCTTTTTAGAGTATTTTCTTTTTTTCCGTAATTAAATTATTCCAAGATAATTGTCACTAATAAGTTTTCTATTCTCCTAAACATAAGTACTCACAAACCATGTGTGCACTTAACTTTACACACTAGAGCGAGGGACGATAATATACGAGTAATACCTTTATACATGAAGTTTTTAATTGTGTTTTGTAACTTGTTGCTCAGAACTTGCTATTCTTAAAACTGGTTTGAACGTTGAATAGTTGTGACTTTAGTATGAATCTTCTAGATATATATATATATATATATAGAGCCATTTGTATAACTTTAACATACATGGATATGGCTTTAGTATCCATATATGTATGTGTTAGGCGTCCAAAGAACTCGATAAGTGGATGACTATTACGAAGTACCAATCACTTGGATCAGAGTCTTGGCCACTTAATGACTCTATCTTGCTCTTAGAAGACTCTAGATTCCTTAGAAGGTTAAAGATGTATTCCACTCCTTCTATATACATGTTAGGTTTTTGGGTGCTTCAAAAACTATATATTTTCTTATTCCTATCGAAAGTTATACGAGGAAAATTTTAAAATAAAAGTACACGATTTGATCACCTAGTATTTTGTCATACTTGAGAAGGGTGATTCGATTCTTGCATTGCATGTCGAGTTTTCAAATGTTTTCATTAATGGGATCTTTTGAATTAGTATATGAAACCAAAAACAAAACAATACTATATAGAACGGGTGATTAATTATTACTTGTGAGAAACGTTAAAACTACAAATACTACAGCTAAGTAAATTAAGCAATAGATGAAAGGTGCATTGGTAATGTCCAACATTTAGGATTCGATGCGTAATTTTTGTTGTTTTTGTTTGTAACCAACTACAAACACAATGGTCCCCAACTTTATCATAAATCTTAACAAGATCTTTGAAAAGATCAACCCACCCACTTCATAGAAACTATATGAGAAAATCCATGGAGGCATGGACTAAAGTAGCAATGCTCCTAACCTTGAGGGCAGTTTGGTAATAAGCTGACCTAAACAACATATTAGTCAACCCTTCAACAACTACAAAAGCACTAAATAAAAACTCCCATTAAGTCCACTTCAATGGATCTTGTCAACTTCTAAGCATTGTGTTTTGAAGAAATGAATCCGTCACTTTCAGGATATTAATATATATACAATGAAGGGAACATTGACTTGGGAAAAGCTTCTTAGAGAAACAATGTGAAGAGCAAGTTAAACATGAACCAATAAGTTGAGTAGCATGTTAAAGTTACCTATTAATCTCTCTGGCCCTTTTGTATATAGTAAGGCTTATCAGAATCATAGTTTCCCTAACAGGGGCATAAAATAACAACTCTCTTATTGATCATGAGATGAGTTTAGGATCCCAAGTTCATGGCAATACAATCTCCTACTCAATAAACTTCATAGCCACGCCCTAGAAACCAAAGGCAGGACAGGCGGTTCACCGTTTTCAACTTCTCAAATAGTGGCTTATCTTTCTTAGAAGTAAACAATAGCTTCAAAGATCTAATGAATAGGATTTCTATAAACAAAATATATCCTACGCAAAACTAGCTTCCTTTCAGGCTTCAAATCTGTTCATATGCTTATGCAGCCTCATAAAGACCTAACATGTAACCATCAGGGCATCTCATGGCCGCAACCTAGTTAAAACAAAAACAACCGCTAAAATTATTCAAATCCCCATTTAAGAAAGTAAGTCCCAAATGAAACTTGAACATCTTTAGAAAAAACTAAATATGTTACCTTTCCATGTATTTCATACTTGATAGTGCCATCTAATTCTGCTCCTAAGGCCATAAGTTTGTTCACTGTTGTATTAATGTCTGTGACCGTGAATGACAGAAGCGATGAGTATCCCTTCTCCGCAATATGATCGCTGCGTAAAAAGAAAATCTTTGAGAACCACAAGACTTTAGGAGCAGAACAAACAGCTTAATCAAAAAGAGTCAAATCCAAAAGATATGAAGAGTATAAGTAAATAGATGGAGAAGGAAATATCATATCCGCTTAAAACAGAGTGCCATTTTCAATATTCAATCATATATTCTCGGAATACAAAGGTAAAAGACCAACGGAGATGATGAAAACTAGAGCTTTAGGAAAGTGTCAGAGATCAAAAATCAAAAGCATCAAACTTTTTCTTCATCCAACCAATAAAAAAATGAGTTTCTCTTGCACCAATAATCACAACCAAAAATTCTCTACAATTGCAATCAAGTTTCAAATATAGTGAACTTGACTTGACGAAACATAACAAACGCTTGTAGCTTCATCACATGGATCATTTGAAGAAAAATGAACCAACCAAAAGTTGTATTAGACGACTAAACTCAGAAAAGTTGTCATTGAGGCAAATGATCAAACAGATTGTGTGCATTGAACAATAATGGAGCAAAAAGAAACAAAACCTAGGAGATTGCATAAGAGCTAACTTGAGAGGACCAGAATCGAGCTCAGCCCAGCGTAAAGTGACGATATTGACGGAGAAGTCGAGACCTTGCGCATAGAATCGAGCCGCTTTGGGTACGTCTCTGTGTAGCTGCAGGATCCACCTAAACGACGCCGTAGCCATCTCTCCCTCTCTCTCTCTACGAAGACGACTGACAAACAAAACACCTTGAAATCAATTACCCAATAGGCCCAATACAAATAGTTGGGCCTCTCTGAGCCTAAGTTTAAACGTTGTCGTTTCAATCTCGCGCTCTACCACAGACCAACGGAAAAAACAGAGTTCACTTCTCTTACTTGCGATGTTTCAAAATTCAATAACTCAAAAAATTTGCAATGGATATACAAATTTGTAGATGAGTCCGATTTACAGAGAAAATGAATATGAAACTCAAGATATGTGTGTATCCAACAAGACCACTCGTTTCGGTCCATTTTCGATTGAACAACTCTGGATGGATTAGCCTTTGAATAACCGATGACGCGATTTTGAACTCTTTGCGAGCTTAGTTTTCAAAGTATTATCCTTTACTCCGTGAGCTATTGCAATTTCGGACGAGCCTAGAAGATCAGGTGTGACGGTTCTTGAAATCCACTGTCGAATTGGGCTTGCTTGTCTTCGAGAAGACGGGAAATTGCAAGAAGCTTCATCGATTTCACGGGTTTCGGACAATAACCTTCTGTGTGTTCGAATCATTTCCCCCATTACATCGTTCTTGTTCGTAGTAGCACACTGATCAATTTCGTCTTCTGGTTTCTTTATGTTGTTGCTGTTCTCAGGCTTTACATTATCTTCCTCTTTGTTTTCAATAGCTCGGGTGGTTTTCTTCTTTCCATTACTCGATATCGCCCACGCCATTTGATCCTCAAAGTTAACTTGGAAACTCGACGTGGACGGGCTTCCAATCTTTCCTTTCGACTTTTCATCGATCAAACTTTCTTTGTTAAGTTGGTTTGGTTTCTTAATTTCCTCTCCATAAGACACTGTAGGTTTCTTGAGCTCAAAGCAATTTGAATCGCTTCCTGCAGAGTCTTCTTCACAGTCTGCATCTCGCGGTGGTGCACTCAAGGTGTTGAACGGGACAGATTCAAGTGAATTCCGGCGGATTCTCGGTATTTCGTTCCGCTTCTCCTGAAGAAATCTCTCGATCTCAACCTCAAGCTTATCCAGCACTGATCTGTTGTTACCATTCAATGTATCTCCACCTTCTAATTTCATCTGTGTCCTTTCGTCAAGCCAAGATTCAGCGATATGAAGAACCAATGGATCTCCTCCAGCTCTACCAGCCCAATCCTTATCAAGATTCTTCTTGTTTAAACCGTGGATCTCCTCTTCGTAGTTCTTGATCCCTTTGGCAAACTCATCGCAGAGTAGCTCCATCATCTTATTTGATTTAGCCCCTCTCTCAAGCTCCTTGACACAGTTAGACAAAGAAGACTTCACTTCCGAGAGCTCACGTGCCAATTTCCTATGCAAACTCTCTGAACGTTTTCTAAGTTTCCGCTCATCTTCCAACTCTTTCCTCGCTGACTGAACCGCAGAGCTCATCCGCTCAACTTCCTTATTCTTCCTCAACAGCTTTTCTTCAGCGAGTTGCTTCACCACACCGTCTAGCTCGTGTCTATCGGCTTGCTGGTACCTAAGAAGCTCCTTGATTCGAACACGTGAATGAGCCAGCTCGGTTTTCAAAGCTTTAATTAAGGAGATATTGGAAGCATGCTGCTCCTCGAGGCTCCAAATACGGTTCAATACTTTAAGAAGTTCGGTTGATGTCTTGAGATTGTAGTGAGGTTCTCTAGACTGTCTTCCTCGGAACTCCATTGAACTACTTGGAGTTACTGCTTTGTTGTATGTTGTAACCTGCAAAAACCATAGTCTATACGTGAATACAAATCTCCAAAACACAAATAACTCCTACTATACACATTTGACTGATTCCTTAAGTTGAATAAAAAATGTTTAGACCTCGAGTGAGCTTCCGTAACTAGCCGGAGATACAGGCTGAAGAGCGTGATTGTTACGTTCGATAGATTGATGATGCTTTATCAACATTTGACCGATCTGCCTCCTTAGACTTCCAGCACTACCTGGCTGAGACAACGTAGGAGGACCATATCAGATAATGAATAACACCAAAACCAAATCACGTCATTGATCAGACAAAGAACCATAAACTCTGACTGAAACACCAGCATCAGTCAAATTCTGTTTAGATTCAAGTAAAACATAATCACTCTCGTCACTAATCAAATCTTAGCTAATGAGCTTACTATAATCAATTGTGACGCCTAGGCCATAACGTTTTAGCTAGAATTTGAAACCTTGTGAGACTTATTATAACAAAAAGATGTAACCTTTTCACAGTGAATCCAAATACTAATCACTTTGCAGTAAGAACAGAGCAAATCTAGACTAAACCCAGAACACAGAAAAAAAAAATCATCAAAATTCACACAAATCATCACGACTCATGTTTCAAAATCCAAACTTTAACACTACCCATAATCCTAAACCGACTGATTCAAACGAATCTACCAAAACCAGAAAAGGGTGAAGAAACCTGATGATCAGGAGAAGGATCTCGAAGGAATTGAGAGAAGTCGAGACCATTCTCCTTAACCACCGCCTTGCCGTGACGTTGCCGGCGGTTACTAGTTCCGCCGGCGAAACCATTAGCGCCGCGGTGCATCCTCTTAGCAGAAGAAGAAGAAGAAGCAGAGTGGTACTGATAGTGATGAAACTCCCAGAAAGCAGCAGCGAGCTTTCTAGAGGAAACAAGGGTAGACTTAGGGAGGAGGAAGCTAACGCGGACAGGAGTTGAAGATGGGTTAATTCGAGTTTTATGATTCTTTAACTTTTTCACCAATCTTTCCACTTTTTGTCTCTCTGCTTCTTCTTCTACTACTCCTACTCCTCTCACTTTACTTTCCATCTAAAGCTAACAATAAAGTTTCCACCTTTTTCTACTTTAATTTCAATCAAAGATTAAAAAAAGGAAAAATCCCATAAATTTCTCAAAGTTGTCTTTTGAATTTGTTTCACCTGTATATATATTTGAACGTTGGATGCTTTTCTGATGTGGGGTTTTGTTTTTTTTTTTTGGTTCCTATTTAAAAGGATTTGTTGATCTTCAGTGGCTACAATCAGTTTGTTTGTGTAACATCACCATCACAATTAATTGCACTTACCAGTTTGAGATGAGATTTTTAAAAACAAAAAAAGGAAAGAAACATTCACCTTTCTTGATTATTGAGGATGCTGTAATAATATTCCGACAGTACCGTAACTTGGTACTTTTTGGCTTTGTGTGTTTTGTATTTGTGGGCATTTTCCTCGTTCTTTGTATATCTTCTGAGAAGTGAGAGTACTAGCTTCCTCCATTCAAGTTCCAAGAGGGTGTGTTGTTTCTACTTTCTTGTGTGTGTGTCAAAGACACTAACTGTAACAGAGGGTTCAATCTAACTAAGCAAAAGACAAAGACTAAAAAGGCAGACATCTCTACCTTACGTTTCGTCACTTATATATTTTTTTGTGTTTTGAGCTATGAACAAAGCAAAATGTTACACTATCCAAATTCCTGTTCCACGAATAGTCTTATATTTGCTCAATAGTTGCTAACAGAGACTAGCTCTAACATACTCATTACAGTTTTGTGCTAATGTTCTTATGTACAATCTAATATAGTATCTTTATAATGTTGCTGAGATTTAAAGAGTACTATTTTTAGCTAACGTTAAACTAAATTAAGTTCCAACAACTACAAATCTGTTCCACCAGCACCAGTCTATGTGCCTTCAATGCCAGCAACCAATTATATGTTTTAGTTTAAGTTTGTAGAGAGTAGTTATCATTTATCAAAATCACTTGCAGGCTATATTACCCACCTCATGGACTTAGAAAGCCCATTAATAAACTTCATAGTGTCCTGGCCACATAGTAATTTCTTACACTTCTCTGTTTTATTTGAAAGTAATGGGGAATAATTGTATTCAGAAATCTTTAGTACTCAAATTATGTGTCTCCAAATTAAACCACCAAAAACAAACAAGAGGATTCATCAATCGTATTTAGTAAAGGTTAATTTGGGGCAACTTTATTTGATATTTTAGTTTAGAAATTGCGGTTTATTAGTAATTAAGTAAACTAAACATGGTCAAAATTAACAAGGAAGAACCTAAAGATAGAGAAGGCATAAGAGAAAGTAGAATAGTGAAAATATGAGACATAAAAAGATTGACCAGTAAGATGTATTAATCAGTTGGTAAGTATTGCAAGACTTTTGGATTACCATCAAAGACTTCAAAATCATATATGTACAACACAACTAATCCTATACCATATCTATTAGAATATCACAAGCTCAATCTATTAATTGGCTGGAGAGTTGGGAGACAAGTCCGACAACTATTAGTTCCATAGATTAGATATATCATACAAAAGTCTTTCAATTAAAAAATAAAAATAAATATAATATATTTCATGGAGTACATTTTTTCTATATTTTAAATTATAATTCACTATGACTTTTTGGGTTAACAAGAATATTCCAAGGATTCAATTCACATTGCGTGTGTAGATTCATTCACCCAAGTATCTGCCCATGATTCCGTCGCAACCATATTCTCCAGAACAAACGTAGTAATCATGATACAATACACATCACAATCATTTTATAAATTAATACCATGTTGTTATTATACTTGTCCATAGATTTCGCATTGCATTATTATTGGCATTAAAGTGTATATATTTAAATAACTACAACAGTGATGATGACCTCTTTCGGCTGCAAAATTATAATATGATTGCTTCAAACACAATTAATGGATTAATTTCTGTTGAGTGAAAGGATTTAAACATATCTAATATAAATTAACCAAACAGTATAACAAAAATAGTTTACATGTTAACAAAAGTTACATGCACACATAATTACACCAAAATAGGTGTCTTTGTATGGTTAAATCACCAGTTTATTTTACATACGTAGAACTTGAGCTTTCTGCTCGTTCCTATAGATGCAATGAAACCGTAACTATTTCTTTCAAAACTATATCATATCCATATGTATCATGTATATAAAAAAAAAAAAAATTCAAGTGGGGATATAATGTGAGTTCTTTATCTTTAAGGATAAGTTTTACATAAATGCCAACTGTCTATACATATTTAATAACAACATCAAGAGGGATTTAGATTGTATTGATCATGAACATACATGTGACGGCAGCTTGAAAAGTAAAACTCGTAGTGCACCGTTTTGTTTATTATGTTCAAACAGAAGTTTCGGTGTTACTCATTTATGGGCAATAATTCCACTTGGGTGCGTCAAAACTTTATTTTATAATGTTCCCACAAAAACAGTAACGTAATAACCATTGGTTTGCGTTGGAGAATAGTACTTTTGAGTGGTGATTTCTTCTAAAAATGTTTTAGACAAAGACATGAACAAAGTACATATATAAAGGTGTGTTGCTGTCATCTAGATATGAACAAAGTACACAAATGTGTGGTGTTGTCATGCATCTATGCTTTCTAAGAGACCTAGGGGGAGATAAACAATGGAGTAAAATGATCGATCAGATCACAAGAAGATGATTAAACGGATTCTTGAAATTATAGAAATATTTCTTAGAAAGAAAACTTCATTATATTTAATTTTTTATATAATTATAACGGATCCAAGAGAATCATTAAATGAGTGATAAAACAAAAGTTGACTTTTAATAGATACCTTTTCTCCTTTTTTCAGCTAGTTTTGTTATAAAACAATACAAAACAATAAAAAAAATTGGGAACAAGTAGCAAATTCCTTAAAAGAAAACGTAATGAGATAAATCACTCGTACGCATTATAAAAATCCGAAAGAGAGAGAGACGGCAAAAATGGACGACTGAGAGATGTTTAAACACTATATAATGCATTTGCATCTCTCTCTCTCTTTATTTCTTTACTTAAAGTTGTAAGCTTACTAAAAGAGTATGACTACGTCAATATTGGACTATGTCATAGACGAAACCAAGTAAACAAATGTTATCCTCATTATTTGGAAGTAAAGCTTGCTTCGTTATATAATCTTTTTTCTTTTGTTATTTTACTAAAGTTTTGGTAATTGGATTTTTATTTTCAAAAAAAATGAATTCACAAATCAATGGTTATAAATCACAAACTAAAAAGGAAGAAAAAGGCTATATATGAACCTATTTGTAATTGTCACCTATTTTCCCCAAAATACATTTTTCTTCCACAGATTGATTGATTGATTATATTCTTTCCGTTTCATATTACTTGTCGTTCTAGAGTTAAAATTTTGTTTCATAATAGTTATAGTTTTAGATTTTTAATGCAAATATATGGTAAATATTTCTAATTTTTTATTCTTTTAAAAAAAATGTTTTAAACAAATTTTTTAAAAAAATTTAGTAAAGAAAAATAAAATATTAAATATTAAAGTTTTTTATACTAATATAATCCATAAAAGGAAAAGATGAAATTGGATGGTATGTATGAGACTATGAGAAACAAAAGTTGACTTTATCAGATTCTTTTTTTCCTTTTCAGCTAAGCTTCGTTAAACAAAAATTGAACAACTCTCTATCAAACAAAACTCCTGAATTTATTATTTTCTTTTTTTGCAAAAAAACACAATTATGTAAAGTGTTTTTGTTTTGTTTGGAAACTAAAACATCATTATAAAAGTCATGAGGTAAACTTATAAAGTTAGTGACTAAGCATTAATAAGTATCCCGAAAGATAGAGAGACCTGAGAGAACCAAAATAAAATAGACGACTGTGAGAGAGATGTTTGGTTGTTTTGTTTGTACACTAAAAACACTGCTCACATCTCTCTCTCTCTCTATTTAAAGTCGTAATCTTCAAGTCAATATCGATCCAACTTCTCTCAGTACACTTTTTTTCTCTTTGTGTTTTTGTCTTCTTCTTCTGCTTCGCCCTGCAATTTCTGCGAATCATCTTCCTCTCGTTGATCTTTTACATGTGGGTTCATTCTAAAGCATAACTACTACAAGCCCGACTTCGTCTAGTGAGATCAAAACCACTCCAAATTTCTTCAGGTACTCTCTCTTCTCTCCTTGTCTCGTTTTTAAACCTTCTTTCACAATGCCTTAGATTTCTAGGGTTATAGACCTCCTAATTTTTAGGTTTTCTCGAGAATCCTAATTTTTTAAGAAACTAATTTTCCGGTTCTCTGATCTTATCTTGGTGCAACTCTTATATGCATGTGTTATGGTGGAATACTATTAGTATTCTGATTTGGCTTTATGATTCTTATTTTGTTCCAAGTTTATCGAAAAATCTATAAAGATTGAAGCTTGATTGTTTTTTCTTTTGAGCAGGGTTTTTGAAGAAAGAGATTGAATTTGGTTCGTCTCTATTTTACTGTGCAAAAGATTTAGTCTTTTGCAAGAATGGCTACAAATTCTACAAAAGCGTGTCCTGCTCCGATGAAAGCAACCTCTAATGGTGTTTTCCAAGGGGATAACCCAATAGACTTTGCGTTGCCTCTTGCGATTCTGCAGATTGTCATTGTTATAGTTCTCACTCGTGTTCTTGCTTACCTTTTAAGACCTCTGAGACAACCTCGTGTTATTGCTGAAGTTATTGTAAGTTTGTCTTGTTCTCTCTCTGTCAATTCGTTGAGTCTTGGTTGATTTTGGTTATTTTGGTGAATGATTTAGTATGTTGGTTTGCAGGGTGGTATTATGCTTGGACCGTCTCTTCTTGGTCGTTCCAAGGAGTTTCTTGACGCTGTGTTCCCGAAGAAAAGCTTGACTGTTCTAGAAACTCTTGCTAATCTTGGCCTTCTCTTCTTCCTTTTCCTCGCCGGACTAGAGATTGATACCAAAGCTCTTCGTCACACTGGGAAAAAGGCTTTAGGAATAGCTTTGGCTGGAATCTCTCTCCCGTTTGCTC